GACTTCTACATATGGACTTTCATCTGTGGATAATTATCTGACTTGGTGCTCTGTGGAAGAAACACTGCAAAAATTTATTTGTCCATTTTGCTGCTATCCCTGACTATTCTTTCCCATGAGTTTTCCTTGTAGCTTCATGTTAGAGTCATTCTTATATATTTTGATATATCATATTTTCACTTTCAGAATATCTTATAATTTTCATTGTAATTTTTCTTTGACCGAATGGATTTTTAAAGTTTGTCCTGTAAGGATTGGAATACCATACTTTAAACATTTAGGCAAAAACCATTCACACAGATTTTGAGAGAATATTCACTTACTAACCAAACATTTGTGGACTTACTATCTTTTTCCAGTCTATTGGCTTAATTTGACTGCAGTAAAAAAACATAATCTATTTGATTTATATTCTTTGAAACTTTTTGATATTTGTTTTATAGACTATTATGGTCTGTATTGGCAAGCATGCCATTATATACCTGGAAAAGAAAATGTATTTTATCTTTATTATATGCCATGTTCTCAATATGTTGGTCATTCTAAATTTGGTAATTGTGTTATACATATTTTCTGTATTTTTCATAGGCTTTGTTTGCTTGTTCTCCATGTTACAAGGTCAGTTGTGTCAAAATCTTGAAATTGCAATGTGGACTTGGATTTTTTTCTTTTAATTTTGTCTGTTATTGCAAAACAAAAACAAAACAAGAAATTTTGATGAAAATTGTTTTTACTTCATTAATCTATCCTTTTACAAATAATTCTCTCCTTTCTTCTCATGTTCTACTACCCAAATAACAATTGTTTTTGTAGTATAAGGAGTAATTTAATTATAAAACATATAATATTTGCTTGTCATGTCTATCTTGTCTATCTTCTAAAATACTTTAAATTTCTATTTGCTTACATTTTCATTCTAAGTATATGATGCCATCATTACACTTAAGTAGTTTGCAGTCTTGTAATTGAAGATTTTGAATCACATCTAACTACATCCACATAGAGATTATTTTAAGTGTAGCCTAAAAAGTTGCTAAAGGTCCTGTGAAATGTTTCATTACATTGAAATATTTTAGATGTTGAGATTCGTATGTATGGTAGGCACTACAATACTGTACTTTTGACATCTACACAAAGAACATTCACACAAATTTCACAATCAAACATTTAGTTCTTATGAAAGAAAAATCTATTAGAAGTTTATGTTTTGGAATTAAGTGAATAAGTCTTTGAAAAGATTTTAGTTCTCAGTATTTTCACTGATTTTGTAATTGACACAACATATTGATTGGTTAAAATTTTTCTATTTACAAGTACAATGCATGATCACTGAAGAAATTTTTGAAGGCAAAAATCAGAAAAAGAGCAAAATAATTTTGTATAATCCTATCATCTAATAGTAGTATTGGTTAATAGTTTGGTAAATTTTGTTTTCATTTTAATAGTTTATACCCCTTTTCATATTTTGTTTTTTATTGACTTTATTTTTATTTAATATTTATTTTTTATTTTTACTTAATATTTATTTTTATTTAATAAATCATTTTTTTACTGTCATTATTTAGTCAGTGTAAAATGTAGATATCTTTCATTTGGTGTGAGGGGTACATTCTAAAGATATCCTTTAATTCTATAATTCAAGTCTCAGTTAAATTAAGAACAATTTTCACATAGGAATAAGTATATAATGATGGATATATTTATAGTAAAAAACTCATCTATTGTAATTTAAGAACAGATTCTTGACATTGATTTTGTGGTCATATTTCATATAGATTTTTGTTGTTCTTCTTTTTAAAACTTTCTGTCATCCTACCTAGTTATTTATCCTTTTTGCAAATGAAACATCTGCCACATCTATATTTACTTTTGACATTTACTCATAATTTTTTTCATTTCCCATGTGTTTCCTAAGTTTATCGACATCTTTATGTTGTAGTTGATACTTTTGCTTCATTTTATATGTCATAGATTTCATCGGTTCCAGACACAAAATCATGTATTAATTTCATATTGCTTGATTTAGGTTAGTTATTATGATGAACATAATTCTCTTTCTCTTCAGTAATTGGTTCAGGTGGAAATAGGAGCTCACTTGGTGGAGAGTGTAGTTCAGGATAGTAGAGAAAAATAAGCTTTATCTTCCTTCAGATTGTATAACATGTTTACATATAGCCATGGCTAGTACACTGCTCTAAGTGGACCTTTCTGCAAGAGATGACTCAAGTCCTTCTCTGGAAACATTATGGAACTGAAATCCTTCTTAAGGTATACCTGGAGTCTCTCCTCCTACTTCTAAAGCAGTAATATTGAACCCTGTGTTCATGTTAGAAATTATCTGAGAATCCGTAAAACACACACGTGTGTTCTTTTTCTGTTCTATGCAAACCAAAGTCAATTTCATTGATACACAAGGAAAGGATATTTCATTAGAAAGAAAAATTATCATGAAAAGGATAGCCTAAAATTCTTACACTTTAGCATCTAGGTCTAGTATTAAAAAAAAGTCTAACAAATCTAACAACCATTTGTTGTAAATGATTAAGAAAAAGGGAGTTGTGGAAGCAATTGCAGTGAGGTAAGTATATACTAAGCCATGTTCAAAAAATCTAATTATGACTATGAAAAAAAGATTCATTTTACATTGGGTAATTAATGGAATATATATACAACTAGACATACATGCTCCATGATTTTTTCACTTGGATAAGAAGAGATTCTTTTTCATACAGCTGACTGTATCTCTTGAAAGATTATGTAACATCAGCCTTAGTCTTAGAGTATTTTACGTTTTAACTTATAGAACTTGCCTTTTTATTTCATTTTTCATGTTCTTAATGTAGTCTGCTTAAAGGTGACAACTTAGCAACAAACCTTTTTAAATGTTTTGTGCAGAGAATGCTACAACATTTCTTCTTTGCTGCTGGGCCTTTATTATCAGGCTTTATTTCAACCATGTATTTGAACTGTATTTTCATTTTTTAAAGGTGGTTTTCTATCTTGAGCCAAAATTGCTGTAATTATTAAAATAAGTACTATTTTTTTGTTTAAGCTCTGTGATTTTACTTAACACTTGGTTAATTTGTTTATGAAATGTAGAGTGGTTGGAAATCCCAAAACTAAGTGTGCAAATAATAGACAAAATAATCTTGCCACTTATTGGAATTGTTTTTGGTTGTGTGTCTGGTTTATTTCAACATTATATTTCCAGGTGCATCATTTTCCTACAAATGTGTCATTCTTTATAGCAGAGTAGTATTCCATTATATATAAATACCACAATTTCTTTATCCAATCACCTGTTGATGGGCATGAGTATACAGACTGCTTCCAGGATTTAGCTATTATGAATTATGCTGCTACACATATTGGTATGCATGTATGCTGTAATATGATGATTTAAGCTCTTTGAGGAAGCTATCTAGCAGGGGGATAATTGTGTCATGTGGGATTTATAACTTCATTTCTTTGAGAACTCTTCATAATGATTTCCACAATGGTTCTACTAGTTTACTTCCTACCAACAATGAAGAAGGGCTCCTTTTTCACCACAGCCATGCCAGCATTTGTTATTGTTTGCTTTCCTAATGATTGCCATGCTTTCTGGAGTAAGATGAAATCTTAGAGTTGTTTTAATTTGCATTCTCTAATGACCAGAGATGTTGAGCATAGTTTTTATGTATTTGTTAACTATTTCTTCATTTGTGAAGTGTCTGTTCATTTTGCTAGCCCATATCTTGACTAAGTCTTTAATTTTAAATGTTTTAGTTTTTCTGAGTTCTTTCTATATTCTAGATATTAGTTCTTTGAGGAGTATCTGGCAAAAATTTTTTCCTATTCTGTAGGTTGTCTCTCCACTCTACTAACTGATTCTTTTGCTGCAGCTTTTTAGCCTGATATAATCCCATTTGTTGATTCTTGCTCTATTTCTTGTGCAACTGAGTCTCTGTTTAGAAAACCCTTTTCTACACCTATGTCTTCAGATGTTTCACATTCTTTATCTTCCAGAAGATTTAATATTTTTGTTTTAATGTTTAGATCTGATTTTAATTTTAATTTAGTGTATGGTGAGAGGTATAGTGTAATTCTTCTACAAACTGTAATAGTATATTTTTATGAAAGAATTTACCACCTTTTGAAAGAAGGTGTTGTATAAATAAATATTACAGCAATAATTTGAGAATCATATAAACTACAAGAAAAGAATGTGAAAAGTATATTTATAATTTAATATGTAAAACTTGATTAATTCATCTAGTATATGGTTCGTCTCACAGTTATTTAAACAGAACAGTTAAGAATCTAGATTCCCACCAATCATGCCATATTTTGTTCCTAAACACATAAATCTTTGTAATGTATATAATTGAGTACCTATTTTATCATTGAGACAGGAAAAAAAGACATTTTGTGTTGGTTTATTTTCTTCTCCTGCATTCAGTTTTGTATTCCATTAATTTTTGCCTTTTTTTGTTCTCGACCCTAGGACCCATCATCCTGGGTTTCCAAATTTATAAATAATATATTTCAGAAGAATCAGAAAAAATTTAACACATATCTGAAAGTTACCATCTCCCTCCCTCAACATCCATCCTCCTTGTTCCTCATTAGCAGAACTTTAGTCTTTTGAAGCAGTAATGAACTGTCATAACTATACGTAGTTGCAGTCCAAGGTTTGGCCAATAAAAAGTGAATTTAATATATTGAGTAACTCTGAGCCTGGTTTTCTTTTTTTTATTTTTTATTTTTGTTAAATTCTTTTATTGGTACATTTTAGGTATACGACACAATTACATTTCTCATTGGGAATTGTACCTTTACATAATGCATCTTGGTTCTTATTTTTTCC